AAGCTATATAAAATAAAGTGTAATATTTGATGATGAAGAAGCGTGCATACTAGTTTTGATGACCAGTATTTTGATGCTGGTGTATTTCCACTGTTACATAATTAATACTTCTCTAAAAAGTCAGTCTAATACATGTACTTACCAAACACAATTTCAAATCAGAGAGCCCATGTCTACCTCCGGGAATTCTTTCAAAACCAGTCATTGTAAAATAGCCAGTGAGATGAGTATCCAGTCATACAGAAAGTATCCGTGGAACAAATGTTCTTGCACATTTCATATTAACATATGTGTATACGAGTTAATTATTCTGAAAACTAATCTTCTCGATTTCTAAAAAATATGATTGGCATTTTCATTAACGAAGTCTTTGTGTGCACTTCAGGTTACTTACGATCTCTCTGTCATGCAACGTAAGAAGTCTGAGACCGATGCAACGGACAATGATCCAATGCATCGTGTGAAGGTAAGTCATATACATCGTCTTCCCAGTCAAAACTTTTTATCTGTGTACCTAAATTCTTCCAGTATGTACTTAATGTTCGTGGAATAAGATTCGAATGCCGTAACAAAAAAATACATTCAGGGCAGTCGATCAATACTTACAAATGATATTCATGCAATCAATCCAAGGTGGCAATGTTTACGGTGTTAATCCCTTCTCGAATACCGAATATTGCCAGAGATTGTTAACGAAGTATAACGAATTATTTAATGCACCTAGACACAAAACAAGCTTACAAGTGAATAAGACCACACAAAACAATTCCCATCAGGGTAACTATAGAACACCAAAATACAACCAGTCAATAATCCTATATGCGGCGTTTTGTTTCTTCTAGAATTCTGACGAGTTGATAAAGAAACATGTAACACTAAATTCAGCGGCAATAGATGCATTGTTAGATGCAACCTGCTCCAGGATGGGATAATTTGTCTAGTGTTTACTAATTATGTGCAAGCGTTTGCAGGTGTGATGGTTTTCATTATGATGATATTCTTTCATCGGTTACATAAAAAAGACACTGTGGCATGCAATGACGTGCTTTCTGAGTTGGTCAAGAGAAGACCCATCAAGTACGACCAGGATTGATGGACCACAATCGGAATCATCATTGCTTGTTTGTGAAAACGAAAACCGACGTTAGTCGGACAAGGAATCACTTTCATTCTTACTTTGCACTCCACCCTGAACAACGCTAGTGGTGGTTCAGACGAAAAGATGATTTTGATTTTCAAAGAGCGTAACATTAATATTTTAGATTTAATTTTATTTGCAATTGTGAGCGCATGTGTGCTCAAATAAATTCGTAATCTGCTAGCAACCTGTTATGCAAATGATCATTATATAGACGGAATATTTTCTTATAATTTTCATCAGAATGAACTTTTTTAGACCAACAGTATCGAAGAATAACTGAACTCCATCCTGTCAGCTGCTACTCTCTCCATCAAAACTCCGGTAGGACAATGGGAAGAATCCTCGCAATTTATTGAATTCGAACCAATTCCGATATATGACCTCAAACTCTGTGGTAGTTTTAACATGCACAATCTGCTTCTGATAGAACAGAAACGACGTGAACAGGCTAGTTTTATTCATGCTGTGAGTGTTTTAATGTAGACGGATACGTTCTGTATTTTTGAACAACGTGAATGCGGAGAATGCTAAGTATGAATTTCCCTCCGGTAGTTACTCGTGAACTATGCACAAAATGCGTGTGAGTACTAAGAAACTTCAATGTCTGGTTCGGGCACCCCGCTTGCCATGTGTGCCTAATGGTGAATGAACCTGAATTTGAAAAATTGCTTTCATTCGCGAACGTGTCCAGTTACACGACTACGTCGCATAGCTATCAGCACACTTTTCGCAGTAAATTGACGGACCGCATGATTAGCCAAACTCTGCGGCAATCCATCATCTTAAGCTTATTAGAGAGTAGTGTAAAGCATCATGTTTTGAATGAAATACGGTAATGTGGTTTTATTACAGTTAAAAGGAAAGCAATATAATTCCGGAGAACTTTATCTCACAATCACATTTCCCTTGGTGTTCATATATCACTCCGTTTTTATTGTGTATTTTCCGTGGATTCTAATTAAAAGCAGTAGATTAAATCTGCTTTATCTCTGTTTTCATAACACTCTTTGGAGTTAAACTTTTACACTCTGTCTGTTTATTTGTTTTCAGTTAATTGCTAAGTTACAACGACGCGAGCTTTTATTTCATCCACTATGCCGGACTTATCTTGAAATGAAATGGTACGTGTAGTTGCACTACAATAACACAAATACTGTGATAACAATAGTTTTCACCCCTCTTAAAGTATTTCTCACTCTATTTTATATTTATTTTTGATGTATACGTCAGTAGAAAAACATGAGAAACATAGACTTTGGTGTCGTAATTCTAACGCACGATGCTTGAACTGCATGCATTTATTCACTTTTCTATTTGACGTGTTACATGAGTTAGATGTTTTTCTTGGACTTTTTCTCGAAACCATTCTGACCATAACTTATACGAAATTGTCTTGTTTCCTCGTTTTGAACAATTGCAGGAGGCTATACGGCCGTTGGATACAGTTGACACAAATTTGCTACTTCGCCATCATGCTGGCAGTAGTCACGAACTACGTGGTAAACGACGATTTTGTACCATCGAACGTCATTGTGCCGGACAAACTTCAAAATCCAGTACGTTCTTGACAAAGTACATTTTTGGGAATAAAGGTTTGAAAATTTCACGTTTATTGTGTTTCGATATAGATCAAAACTGGCAGTACAAGTAAATATATGCTTCCTACAACCCTTTTTCGAGCTTCTGCCATCTGATTTACAAACCGCTAAAGTGGAGAAAGAAAAATAGTCTCTTTGTTAGGAGTTCGGTATAATTATGCGAATAGATGACCGACCGATTGACGGCTGAGGAGCTTTTGTTACAGTGTGGTGGACTACTTGTTCCTATAGGGATGGAACTTTGAATTTTTATGGGCAAAGCCATGACTGGTTTGAAGTACCGGTAGATGGTGAGTGAACAATCAAAGCCCTGGTAGATCAGGGACCGAATTTCGTTTTATAGCTAGAGAATGTTCTAATACATTGGCATCACGGTACGCAGTTTCACAAACTGCATTCTGGCGTTTGCTACCAACTTTATCCGGTCCCAATCCCGTTAAACAATGCTGAGAATATTTCAAAAGAAGACACGTAAAATTTCAGCACCACGATATCTGGCGAAACTGGTGACAGTGCTCAGTGTGAGTAACAGATGTATAGAGTTTTACGTCAGGCCATTTTGAGACTACGTTATGTGAGGTGAATTCTTTCTTTGCTAACAACTGTCGCTCTAATAAACACCATCATATAATTTCCTTTCAATAATATATGGTAAAGTGATAAATCATTATACTTCGTTTAAATCGGAAATTCGAAGTGCAGATGTGGGCGATTGGGATGATCCGTACTCGATTTTACCAAAGAAGCGGAGCTCGCATTTTTGGTAATAGTGTAATATTATTATTCTTCAGCCTACTTTTTAAATATAGTTACCTCACTAGACAACAGCAGGGGGTTTAGAACGTGGTTTATGCGCTGCGCTTTATATATACAGTACCTTTCAACGGGAAGCTCTGAAAACGCTGCATAACTTGTTACAGTTTTGTCGTAAAAAGCAATTTCATACATCACGAAGTCTTAAAACATAGAAATATGTATAGAGAAGATTTGTCAGGCTTATTTATTATCACAACTTTTTTCCGTTTTGGTTTGTGAGTATTCGAGAGAGGTATCGAATAATTTATCATCATGTTTCTGAAATAGAAATCATTAGCTGCGGATTGTCGAACTATTCCCAATAGTATCCTGCTGAGAAACCGCCCCCTAGGGAGTCGAACCCTATTTGGTGAGATGAGGTTTTCCCAAAACCGGTTATGGATAAGCGCTAACTTAGGCAGTATATGTTTTGTATATACAGCTCATTATAAATAGCTGCTACCAGAGAAGTATTTGGTTTGGTATTTGATTGCAACAATAACTTAGTCAAAGTTTTCCCCAACCGAAAGCTGCGTCCATTAATTTGTATTGGAAAATTTTGATATCATGCAATATATTCAGCAACAGAAAAGTTACAATGGTTATCTTGGTCTTCCAGCTATAAGGTGCTAAATAGGGTTATGACAATATTTCAAGGTGAACTTACGTTTTAACTCTCAACATGAATAACTCTTGAGCCACGTTACATAATGTTGTCTCTGTTTCAGTGCATGTATGCTCTAATGCGTTTTTGTTGAGGGAAACGGGATGTTCGCTAATGAAGGAATCAATTAGGAATTTACCGTCTACTCAAATTTGCAACAATTCAGTAAATGGTTATCCCTTCGCTGTGAGATTTTTATGCAACTGGTTTCTCTGAATTCGGTCAACTCGCTCCGTTTTAGTAAACCTAATCACGTGCAGTTAAATCTGCGCAAACCGAAGTGTCTTAACGGGATACCAATTCGTAAACGCATGAATGATAGACAAATCACGAGCGGAATCCTGCGCAGCCATATGGAGACAGCTGTTCAATTAATGTGCCCTTTTTTCTGGTCCACAATCCTAAATGTCAGTCTGACAAAGCGAAAAACATACAACTGAAAGGTTGACACCCAATTCGGATGGTAGTCAGTTGGTCGCGAAATCCAAATACTGATAACTCTCTAACCGTGGCATAAAAATACCTCTGTGTGTTTGCGCTTCAGTTAGGAGAATTATGCGGTAGAATTTATTATGTTCAGCTATAAATGAAAATCAGGAAAGATACTAATGAATTAAAGGCTAATTTTGGAATTATGCATTGTTACTACAGATAATATAAAAGGCTTCATCAATTTGTTCACTTCCCTGGTGAAATAACAAATGTCCCCTCATTGGGGTGACCAGTCTGTGTCTCTTTTTTAGTGACACCAGTTGCATTGAGTTTGCGCTCAATAACCGATGAGAAAATAAGTTATTATTGGGAATGTAATGCTATCTTGGAATAAACTTTTTTGGTTAATTTATTAAATCTTTCTAAACGTATTTCCATTGTTTTGATACCGTTTACTTTTATTTCAGGAGGCACATTTTAAAAATTCGCCAGTTATGAGCAAAATCCTACACGCGGTCTTTCTTCTTTACACTACCATTCACCTAGCTGTTGAGGCGTTTGAATTACAAAGACAGGTGAGTTTGGATCTTTTCAATAGAAGGTGGAGCATCTTTACAAATAGTAAAAGATTTTAAACAAGCTATATTTTAAAACGTAGACGTAAAGAAATAAATTCCTCAAAAGTAACTTTTGCCCATTTAGTGGGCGAATCCCCACAAATGGCAACAGCATTCCTGAAAACCTAACACATTCTACCGTATTTGTTCATGACAGCATTCGGTTAGTTTTAATGGAAAAGCAAGTCCCGGTAAAATGCGTAAGAGAATCTATTGCAATTCCACTCAAAATGTGAAAGCGTTACTTTACATCTTTGTTACTATTCGAGTATTCTTAGTGATAGTTGAGCAAACGAATACAGTGTTTTCCTCATTTTGGGGGCTTTGGTTAAAAATACCCGTTATCTTACAGTCGTGAGTCTAATTGGCAGTGGTTTAAAACAAGCTGGTTTCGTTCGTATAGTCCATAGTTCAATTTGACTGGGTAATTTCTATTTCCCTTCATGTAACAAATGAATATGTTTATGTTCCAAGGATAGTAATATACTCCTAGTATGTGTTGACAAGTTCGGATGAGGTTCTCCATTAGTATACACATATAGACTTTGAGCATGGATTTCGTTTCTCAACTATAAGGACACTTTTAGCCTGTGAAAGTTACCGAGGAAGATAATGTTTTTTTAAGATCAATCATCAAACTTAACTGATTACTATGATGTCTAAGATGAGCTGACGTGATGTGGCACTAGGACTGCGGCAATGTCCAAATCCCCAAGAACTGTGAATTAGTAATTTCATTTTATTTTCATTTAAGCTTCCTTTTTGTTTAACCTAAAGTTATCTGATTTTCCGAAAGGAAGCAGCGACCAATCTAAGGGCTACCGTACATTACAATGAGGAAAGCTAGATGGTGGTGGGTTTCACCCTAGCGGGGTGATAATTGGATAACCTTCATCACTGGGCCAGGGCTACCGGACCTTGATCTGGATATCTTTATCGATTAATTGACTGCATTTCCCTACATCGAATATTTTTAACAATTTTTACTTTTTCACCTATCCAATGAAAGGACACATTGCCGTTGTAGCGGATCTGTAATTTATTCAGGGGTAGCCTCAAGATCGCCATTTATATAAAGTTATTGAATAAAAGCTTACGGAGGCGAAATCATTTCACCTGCCGAGTATCTATGTGTTTTCCTTATTTTTAATCATTCTGCACCTGTAAGTTTTACCGATCAACCTGGGAAGATTCCACATTCTTCAGTAGTGGAGTGTCAATAATCAATCATGCATCCTGTGCATCCCTGAATGAAATACTTATAAAACCGTGTGAAATGCATCTGTAATCATGCGAAATAGCTTTGCGGGAAATCCTTGCTAATCCAACTCAAGACCCATCCATCTTATTGTTACTCTCACGCTTAAACACTCTCTGACTGTTGTGTTTATGCGCCTACATAAGCGTATGGAGAAACTCTAACATTCCTTACATTGTTCGAATGTCTACACGTCGGGCATTGGTTTCTGTCGGATCCTTTGGCATGCTATAAAGGTTAACGTTTTTATCGATTATTAGACGCTATTTGCATGAGACAAAGTGACGTTGGCTGAAAGACGTACATTGATCTAAGTGAAAGTCCAAAACGGTAGAAATTCATGCAACAATAATTTGAAGAAGCTTGTGGAGTTGTTACTTTTCAGACTGTTCTAATTTGCTAATGGCAGCGGTTGAATGATCTCTCATAAAAGGGGCAAAAAATAAGCAGGCTGCACAATATTAATCCTTTAGCCATTCTCCGTGTCCCCTATGAAATGACGTGATATACTGCGACTTACCAAGAATGAAAAATGTAGGCAGTCTTTCAACCTTCTCAAATACCGATGGAGTAATTGTTTTGTATTTTGTCTACCTAATAATAGCTTTATTCCACGGATTTGTAAGCCTCAGGTTGCATATTCAGACAGTGTAATGTTTCTTTTCAAGGAAAAAATAATTTCACTGAACCGAGAAGAAAACTGCTGTGATTTCACAGCGCTTGAGTAAAATCATTTATGAGTTTTTCTTACACCTAGCAACCACTTTATTGTCCGCTTTGTGTGCAGCAAAGCTGCTTGACAGTGAACGTTCGATTTATAGCTGTCTTGATCATCGAAAGTACATCGGTTTTCCAGTGATCTTGTCCAGTCATTCACATACTACTTTTTATGAAATATATATATATATACTGCGGACTGTCAAATCAACCACGGTCTAATAATCTTTGTAAAAAGAAAAACTTCATTGATCTACACGTGAACGGAATACTGCTAGATTATCCAGGTGGAGACAGGTGAACCTACTTTGGGGGTCCACAAACGGAACTTTCGGCTAGTCGAAGCCAGACCCGCAAGGTAGCGAGACGGTGTGTGAAAACCGTAATCGATTACTAACCGTTAAACAGTTCTTACACCCTTTGGATGGGGTCAAACGTCCAAGGTGCCCAATACACCTTGAGTTCTAATCGGGCCTGTGACCATTGCCACAACAAGGAAGGTTTGGGTGGGTGTGATTTGTATGCCTCGTTTTGGTCGTTTTGAAATTAGGGCTTTGAGCCCACTTCGTTAGGTGAACTAACCACCAACTCGGTTATAGCCCCGGATGTCGGCTTTTGTTCCTTTCACTTTGGTGTGAAAACACGTGTGCCACTAGAAGGCATTGAGTAGGGTTACATCAGAAGAGGCTATTTGAGCTGCTTGGTCGTATGGCGGCATTTCGCGGTTCAAGAGAAAGGTGACCAGCCGCAACCCTAGACAGCCACCCCGATCTTATTGGGGCCTTTGGAGGCCTCTTAATTCGGAGGCATTTATGATGACATAACAAATCACTATCGAAAGAAATCATATCAAGTGATCGACACTACCAATAAACTAATTGTTGCTCTAAAATGTTTGGCAGCTCCAGAGAATTTGTAATCAGTTGTTAGAAACCCTCTGTTACGTCAACAACAAAAGAAGTTCATCGCCCTTTCTTGGCCTAGGAGACCCTTACTCCAATCAACTTTGAAGTTTATTTTATAATTCACTCCGCAGTCCCGTGTAAAGATTGTATTTATTTGTCGTAGGCACCAGTTCGGATTCAGAAAAGTCGTTTAAGACATAAATCGAATAATGTTGCTGTACTGGCAACCATTTTTATAATTTTAGTTCACCAAACATTATCTACCATCAAGCTTATTTGAGGTTTTTTAACAAAGTTTCCTACCGCAAAAGACACTAAAATAAGACTCATACTCGCAAGGAGTATTTTTATTGAATTTTCTATTTTACGTTTAGGGGTATATATAAACTGCTGTTAGTTGACTGTTCATTCACCTGAATCACACCGGAATACTTCAACAATGATAATTGTGTTACCAATTATGCGGCTAACATCCATTAAATCCAGCATTTGCGCTTGTATGGGACATTTATATCCTACGCCTTTTATTCCTTTTCAACAGGATAGTGATTTATTGTGATTGAGCTAGGCTATACAAAAATGATATGATTTCGTGAGGAACGGATACTAGAGTTCAAATAAACAAATGCTTTGTTTTATAAATAAGGACAGTTTTTGAATATCTGTTGATATTTCCACATTATTCATTGAAAAGGACAATAAATCAAAGAATTCTTTTCGATTATCCATTCTCAAGCTTCTACACTATTATATCATTACAAAATAGCAAAAAATGTTCTTGAATACTCTTAGGGGCTATCCTTTTTTATATGTCAACTTCAGCTCCGGTCAAAATCATCTTTACATGTAGTGGTAAAATTAAGGTCATTTTCGTTAGCCAGAAAAGAAGTTACCGACAAATATCCAACTGAATTATACCTCTGTGCTCGATTATCGGCGGTGTGTTTCATCTTATTCATATATCGCGATGTGAATATGCTTAGATCCGACAGCCAATCGGGTCAAATTGTGTCCCCAAAACAATGCAATGACTTATCAACCATTATCAAACACCTCTCAAATATCTTACTGTAGTTGTATTTATTTAGTTATTTCTAGTTCTGCTCACAAACTATGCGACATTTGATATTGTCTTGAGAAAGTTCTGATAGCGTGCCATTTTCAAGAAATATTGGGATCACGAACTAAATTATTTGATTGGTTTACTAACTTTATTTTTTGGCTCCTTTTCTCTTATCAAAGGAATTTTTTACATTGTTCGCACTTGTGTGTAAAATCATACTGAAGGCTTTATCCAATTTTTCAACCCAATGCTTGGATAAAACTTGAACTTATTTCGTCCTGGAGGACACATCACACCACCACACCAAGAACTAGAGGTTTGTTCACCAATTTGCTGGTTGTTTGTGTACAAGGCGAGTCTGGTCTCCCCTAAATAAACGGCGTAACTACTTGAGTATGCACTGCGTTTTTGCTTGAATATTGCCCTCCACTACAAAACACTTGTATTGTGTGGGCAGCGTTGCAAAATTGTGATCACGATCCGCCACCAATTGATACCACTGCTTTTATCGTGCTTGTAAGTAACGACTGACAGTACAGTAAGTCACAGGCTCGTTTGAAATACCCCTGCTGATTGCAGTTGGGCCTGCAAAGGCTGGA